AAAAAGGAACAAGATAAAGTTCTTGTTAGTGGAAAAATAATTCAAAGGGAAGGGAATGGCAAGGGGGGAATAGGCGTGTGAAGAAGGGCTCATTTGGGTGGCACCTGTGGCTCAGGGAGTAGGGTGCCGGCCCCATATGCCGAGGGTGATGGGTTCATGCCCCAGCCCTGGCCAAACTGCAACAAAAAATAATAAATAAACCCTAAAAAAAAAAAAATTAAAAAAAAAAAAAGAAGGGCTTGTTTCGTGAGGCTTTTCCACTATTTTTTTAAATATGAGAAGGAAAGAACATAAACGTCTATTGTTCTAGCATTATGCTAATGATTTTGCATACATGTCTAGGGTGACCAGATTTCAACATCTGTGAGGCGGGACAACATGGCCAGGGGGCGGAGCGGGGGGTGGAGCAGGGGCGGAGCAGGGGCGGGGCAGGGCCTGACAACAATGCAAACTTTGATAAGCAGTTCTCAATAGTCACTTCTCAGCAATTTTTTGTTATTACAGTTTAACATTACAAAATTAACAAAAATAATATAAAACTCATATCCTAGCGAAATAGTCATATGGCAGCCGAAAACCATACATTCCCTTCTTGTTCTCCAGCCCATTCGTGCATTCTTTCCAAAAATCGGGACTTTTTAAAAACGCTGCGGGACTCGGGACAAATTGTTGAAAAGCTGGACTGTCCCGCCAAAATCAGGACGTCTGGTCACCCTATACATGTCATATAATGGTATTGGATAGGGAAGACCTTCTGAAAGGCAGAGAATCCACAATGTTGACCTCCAACACATTCAAGATTGCCCATATGGGCAGAGCTTGGCAGGTAATAGTCTACACTTAACCTTAACCAAAAGACCAAGAAGCAATAGAAGGTAAGATTATATGTGATCTAGTCTTTGAATGGAAAGGCACTTGTGTCCATCCTTCATAAGAGGGATACCTGGACAGTGAAGAAACCCCAATGAGGTGACCTAAAGATGGCCTTTTTCCCTTAATAAGAGAAAGTTGATAGTAGGTTGTATGGGAATGACACTCTTCAATAATTGGAGGGCTTCCTCTTTTTTTTATTTGGATTTAGAAAAATAATGTTTTGGTATATGGCTTTAGATGGGAGAAATAGGATTGTAAGTAGAAATTCTAGAGACAAGGGTTTCAACTCAGCCACAGATCCAGGCTATATGGACATGAGATCCAGGTGCTTTGAAACAACCTAGTTCTCAAGAACCATCTGGGACTCCAGAAGGGTACAGAAATCTGAAAGGGTATGGGAGAGGAAGCTAGATGGTCCATTACCATTCAAATAATCTACGGATCAATTGTCTGCTCCCTCTCTCCACACAGGAAAAGTACAAATGAAAGTGGTGGGAATATACGTAGAGTGTATCTATAGCATGTGTGCGCATGCCTATTTGAAGGCAACTGCAGAAAAGGTCCTCCCACAATCGTTTTGGGCAATTGACAGTAGCATAGCAGTTGGCAGCAGACTTGGGGAAACAACAATTAGTTGAATATTAGTCCTAGTGAATTTGTTCCAAGTCTCTACAGGATTCAAGGACTGTGAAACCTGTCTGTCCTCCTGGGCTTGGAGAAGGTTCTCCAGTGGAAGGCTTGCCCTGCTGCCATGAGGTGGCCCTCAGAAACCATGGGACAGTATTGAGCAGTGGCTAAGAGCTAAGACATAACAAAATTTAGATTCTGGTTTGCGTATGGTACTAGCCATGTGACCCTGAATAAACTATCTAATCTTTTTGTTCCTTATTTTTCTCATCTGTGAAATGAGAGTGATAAAACCTACTGTAAGAGCTCACTGTGGCTCAGTGCCTGTGGCTCAAGTGGCTAAGGTGCCAGCCACATACACCTAAGGTGGTGGGTTCAAATCCAGCCCAGGCCTGCCAAACAACCATGCCGGCTACAGCCAAAAAATAGCTGGGCGTTGTGGCGGGCGCCTGTGGTCCCAGCTACTTGGGAGGCTGAGGCAGAAGACTCGCTTGAGCCCAGGAGTTGGAGGTTGCTGTGAGCTGTGATGCCATGGCACTCTACCCAGGGGGACAGCTTGAGGCTCTGTCTCAAAAACAAACAAACAAATAACAAAAAAAAAAAAAAAAAGAGCTCACTGTGAGAACTAAATGAGATAACAGATACAAAGCGCTCAGGAGAGCTCTAGGCACCTAGTAAACACAAAGTGGCTGTACTCAGACCTGACCCTGGTGCTGCGCACCGAGCTGGGCCTGCCTGCCGTCACTGTTAGCTACCTCAGTTATTTATTCGATTCACTCTCAGGCAAGAATGTGAGCTGCATAAGAGAAGGAGCATTGTGTTTTATTCATTCGTTTATTTCTAGTACTTTGTGTGCTGCCTGGCATATCTGATATGCCCCAAAACATGGGGTAAATGAAAAAATAAATGAAGCGATCAACGAGTATATGGAAGAATGAATGGCAAGCACTTCTTAGGGGCTGAGAGGTGCTTCAGCGAGGAGGTGTAACCCACATTCCTCTCCATCTGGAGATCATCCAGCTACTCCCAGGACGAGAAAAGAAATGTACATAGCGGTGTCTTGTTGCTTTCCAGGCCCACAGTGCGTTCCTGTCAGTGTTAGCAGGGACAGGTCCCTGCCAGATTCCCCTTTGCACAGCCTTTAACTGTCCCCTAGACCAAAAACAGGGCCAAGAAGCACCTATCAGTGAGATAGGTTTTGATTCACTACCACTCTTCCCATCTTACGAGGGAGGAAATTGAGAGCCCAGGACTTTGAAAAACCAGCTCAGGAGAGACAGCCCCCACTGGAATGTGGAAATGTCAGGACTCAGATCTGTACAGGCCCTGCTCTTTCCCCAAGGCCACTGGCCACCTCTTTCAGGAAGCAGAAGAGTTATTAGTATTATCTTCTTCTCTAAGAGAGGGTTAGGGTTAGGGTTAGGCACATGTATTAAGCCAAGCCTGGCACTGAAGGTAAACACAGCTTGACCGTGTGAGGGTCACTAGAGGCTGGGTCAGATGGGACAGCAGAGCTCTGCCAAACCCCTTACTGGGGCCCCTCGCTGGCTTAGGCCTGTGAATCTCCAAGTGTGGCAGCATCTGCCATTGAACTCCAGATCTGTAGACTCGGGATCTCTGAAGTGGAGGCCCAGGAGTTACCTCTCTGCCTGATTCTGAGTTACTGATGTTGCCCTAAGCACCGTCCTTCCTCTGCTTGGGCCTCCCTGTCCTCCACCCTGTCAGCCTGTCTCAAGCCTGGGCAGTTTTTGCCTCACGCTTTTCTGTGCCATAGTCCCAGGCAGGAGGGAGCCAAGGCCAGAGCATCACTCCAGAGAGCCCAGGGACATGGGTGCCCGTGGTGGGCCCTGGCAAGGCCCAGCAAACCCTGGTGCACAGGGAAGCCTTGCTCATGAAGCCAGGGGGAGCCTTTTATTTGTATTCACTAGTGTCAGAATTCCTCTGGCGTGGTGGGGCCAGCCCACGGAAAATGAACATCAGCAGTTTCCCAGATCCCAGTCAACCACTAGGGCTGAGACAAGGAGAGTGGTTCCTCCAGCTCCTACAAAGGGCAGGACAGGGCAGCACTCTGCAGAGAAGCACCCTCGGGAGGAAGGGCACTTGAATTGGGGGACATCTAAAAGAGATTTCTAGGTTGTTCCCTGAGCAGCACGTGAGGTGACCCCTCAGAGCTCCACCTGTTCTTCAGTCAATTCTTTTAAACCCATGAGCGTTTGGAGGAAGTGAATTTTGCTGTGGAAACTGAAAAAGTGGAAGATCTTTTCAGATCTTCAAGTAGAAGATGAGGAGGACTCAGGCTGCATTCTGCGGGCTGGGAGAAGCCTAAGAACAAAGCCCCCTGGAGTTTCATAGGCCACAGAACTGGAGGGTCAAACAGATGTCACCTAATCTTGGGGGACCAGGAAGCCTCCAGCCAACCACTAGACCCTAAAACTGAAAAGTAAGGGGGAAAATGGACTAATTACAGCCATTGTGCAAACTGCTTTTTTTTTTTTTATGAGACAGAGCCTCAAGCTGTCCCCCTGGGTAGAGTGCCGTGGCATTACAGCTCACAGCAACCTCCAACTCCTGGGCTCAAGCGAGTCTCCTGCCTCCACCTCCCAAGTAGCTGGGACCACAGGCGCCCGCCACAACGCCCGGCTATTTTTTGGTTGCAGCCGTCATTGTTGTTTGGCGGGTCCGGGCTGGGGATTCGAACCCGCCACCTTAGGTGTACGTGGCTGGCGCCTTAGCCGGTTGAGCTATAGGCGCCGAGCCAGCAAACTGCTTTTCATTAATGCTAATTGCGTACCATGCGGTGCAATGACAATTCTGCATTGCATGGGCTACACGTCAGATTAGCTGAGTTTTTATGCACCTCCTTGTGGGCCACTCTTCCTGAGGCCTTGCTTAGTGGCCTGGTTGAAAGTTAACACAGGAGCTTCACTCACAATTTTAAAAAGGGGGGCAAAATACTCGACAGATGGGTAATTCTCTCCTTTAAAGGAAGGATTACTTTGTATGGACACAAATATCAGTATATTGCCTAGTCTTTGGAGCTTGGCGATAAAACAGAATGTGAGCTCTAATACTTTATATCTATTTACTCTTTTTTTAAATTTAGGAGATCAATGAAGTGTCCCTCACCAAAGCAACTGGATCCCTGCACACCTCTAAACAAAACCTAAATAATCATTTGTAGTTAATGTCATTACTCATCCCAAGTCCATGCTTTAGAGAAGAGAATAAAATATGGAAACAACTCTTTAGGGTACAGTTAATAAAGATGAATGAGAAAACTCTTCATTCATTCCCCCTAAAGAACAAGCTTAGAGGTAAAGGAGACCAGCTCATGCACTTGAGGTGGCTACTTCTGAGAAGATGGGCGCCACTGGTCTTCACATTCTTCCTGATGGCCCACAATGGAAACTGGGTTGGGTGAGGGACCACAGATGTTTACACTGAGCCCAGGCAAAAGAAGAGAGAAGAGAAGGGGAGTACAAATATCAAAGCAATCTTACTTCTGCAAGTCTTCTGGTCCGAGTTGAGTATATATCCTTGTTTGCACCTGCAGACGTAGGAGCCAGGGGTGTTGATGCAGAAGTGGGCACAGTTGTGCCCCAGGGTGCTGCACACGTGTGCCACTGAAAGGGAAGACACAGGAAGGTCAGTGAATGACGATGCCTTCCCTAACTTCATTCCACCCAGCAGACATTGATTCAGAGCCTACTCTGTAAAGAAGAGGGCAGTACCCAAAGAGAACCAAGCTGCAGTCCTTCCCCTCAAGGGGGTTCACAGTCTCAGGGAGATAAGATGGATCCAGACAAATGCATCAGCAACATATGGGTACAGAGCCATGTAAGGTCAAGGGGAAGTGGTGTTAGGCTGAACCGTATGAAAGTGCTGACACCCAATTATTTTTGATCTACAGAAATAGAAATTTCCAGCTCAACTTAATAATACCTATTTGGTGGGCAAAGGGATCAGAACAGTTTGCTGATGTGATACGGGACTTTGGCTGAATTGTGGATTTTCAGTAAGTAACAATGGGGTTGCAAGAAAAGCTGTTAGATAAACAAGGATGTGTTAAAGAACCAACAGTTTCTCAGGATCATAAATCTCAAGAGTAATGTGAATTTTTTTTTTTTTTTTCAGTTTTGGCCAGGTCCGGGCTTGAACCCCCTATCCCTGGTATATGGGGCCAGCGCCCTACTCCTTGAGCCACAGGCACCGCCCATAATGTGATTTTTCTAATATGCAGAAGTACACAAAAAATTTTGGCATAAAAATGCATTCATGTTTCATGTTTCCATTAGCTTTGTCTCAATTTGAAATATTTCTGCATTTCATTTCTGAAGTGCCTCAGCTTTCAGATACGTTGGTTCTTGCGTAAGTCTGTGTGAAGCTCATAAAATTTTCATTGTTTTTCATCTTAATTTATGACCTTATTCACTGTAATGCAACTTGACCACATTTAAAATTAATAAGCATTGGCATAAACAGAACAAGCTATGCAAGTGTTCTCAAAAACAAAAAGATGTCTATATGTAGAAATATACTGTAAAGAAGCTAAATGAAAAGGGGCTCTCAAAAGCTGAGAACAATTCCACTAATCCAGGGCTTAGAAAAACTCAGCTACTGATGAAATCCATCCTAAGTCTCCTTGTGTCAACATAAGATACGGTGGACAAATCATTAAAACTGTTTTATTTCATAACAATACATTTTAGGATGTATTATTCTGAATTTATGATTGTGTTTTCTTTTTTCTTTCTTTCTTTTTTTTTTTTTAGAGACAGAGTCTTACTTTGTTGCCCTCAGTAGAGTGCCATAGCATCACAGCTCACAGCAACCTCTAGCTCTTGGGCTTAGGCGATTCTCTTGCCTCAGCCTCCCAAGTAAGTGGGGCTACAGGTGCCTGCCACAATGCCTGGCTATTTTTTGTTGCAGTTTGGCCAGGCCAGGTTTGAACCCACCACCCTCGGTATATGAGGCCGGCACCCTACTCACTGAGCCACAGGCTCTGCTCATGATTGTGTTTTAGTTCTCATTAGGCTGCAAATAACACTAAGAAAGTTTGTAGATTAGATCCAATCAGTCAGCTAGGCATGGTGGCTCACACCTGTAATCCTAGCACTTTGGGAGGCTGAGGCGAGAGGACCCCTTGAGCTCAGGAGTTCGAGACCAGCCTGAACAAAAGCAAGACCCTGTCTCTACTAAAAAGAGAAAAACCAGCTGGCGATGGTGCCTGTAGTCCCAGGTCCTCAGGAGACTGAGGCAAGAGGATCTCTTGAGCCCAAGAGTTCGAGGTTGCTGTGAGCTATGACAACACAATAGCACTCTAACCCAGGCTGATAGAGTGAGACTCTGTCTCAAATAAATAAATAAATAAATAAATCCCATCAGCCTTTTTACTTCAGGGTGACATAAACATCTTGGGGGGGGTGGGGCAATTTTCTTAACCTCGTTATATAAAAAGGGGACAAAAATAGCACCTACCTCACAAGGGCCCTGTGAGGATTAAGTTAGTTAAGATGGTAAAGTGCTGAGAACACCGCCCAGTGCCCAGGGAATACTTGAGGAACCTATTAACCATTTTCCAGCAAGAGAAAAGCACGATGGCGTTTTGTTTTATTTTAATCCGTCAGTTCATCCTGTATATATCTTCAACTTGGTTTTCACTCAACCAGATTCTATCCACACTGATAGACACACTATTTCAGGGAATCTAGGATGCACTCTAATATTGGAGGTGTTAAAATGGGAAGACAGGGACAGTTGATCCTCATTATTCACAGATTTGGTACTTGTGAATTTGCCTCCTCACTGAAATTTATTTGTAACTCCAAGTCAATATTCACAACACTTTGGACAGGCTCAGAGTGGCAAAAAATGTGCAGCCTGACACAGATGTTCCCAGCTGAGGTTGAACAAGATGGCACTCTGCCTTCTGGGTTCAGCTCTCACGCTGTAAACAAGAGTCCTTTTTGCAGTCTACTTTGTGCCATGGCCTTTCCAGTTTTGTACTTTTTGTCAGGGATTTTGCTGCTTAAAATGGTGAAGCACTATCTGGTGTTGCTAAAGGTAGGAAGGCTGTGACGTGCCTCACAGGAAAAACGAGCTTCATTCAAGTGCATTGTTGGCTGTGACTTAGTTCCATAATGAATCAAAAATACACATCAGACAAGATGTCTCTCAACAGAAACACACATAAAACAAGACTATGTGTCCATCGGTTGACAAAAATGTGACCAGAATATTGATTTCCCCTAAGAGGAACAGTTCAGGATTCACTAATTTAGAGTTTGCAGGGACTATTTATAGAACACAATTATCCCAAATAATGGCAATTGGCCATATCTTAGATTTGACTAAATACTTTACATCTAGTTTATTCCTCCCCGTTGACTTATCAATTGGTCATTTGACTATTCTTCATTTTACTTAACCCTTTCCTCATTGGTCAACTTTTGGGTAGATTTCAATGTTTCACTTTCACAATGCTGTGAGGAACATTCTGGAACATGTGCATTGTTTCTCTAGAACTGGGTCTCAGTTGAAATAGACGTGTCCTCATGGCTTTCCAAAACGGCTCACATTCACAATAACAAAAGTGAGGAGTCCCACACCCTCAAAACTTCAGCACTTAGTAAAGTCAAACTTTAAGTTTTTGATAATCCTATGAGGAAAAATATATCATTATCTCCTTTTTAATTTGCATTTGCTTTGCATCCTGGAAGGCTCTCTTCTCCTGCACTGCAGAGGAGCAAAGGGGCAGAGGGCATCCCTGATGAACTCACAGCGGGTCACTATCTTCCTCCAGAATGAAATAAGCCTGGAGTCTACGTGGCAGGTGCCCACCGGGGGGAGGCCCACGTGATGAACCTGGTGCCTGTATTCTCACTGAGATCCTGACAGACAAAAGAGGAAATCAGTAGATGTGGGCAGCAGGGACCACAGCAGGGAAGAGGACAGATCCTAGAGACAGGCCATCTGAAAGCTCATAGTTTGCAACATTCTTTTTTTTTTTTGAGACAGAGCCTCAAGCTGTCACCCTGGGTAGAGTGTCGTGGCATTACAGCTCACAGCAACCTCCAACTCCTGGGCTTAAGCAAATTCTCTGGCTTCAGCATCCCAAGTAGCTGGGACTACAGGCGCCCACCATAACGCCTGGCTATTTTTTGGTTGTAGTTGTCATTGTTGTTTGGCAGGCCCGGGCTGGATTCGAACCTGCCAGCTCTGGTGTATGTGGCTGGTGCTTTAGCCTCTTGAGCTACAGGTGCTGAGCCAGTCTGCAACATATTATGACCTTCCATGAATGACTTAATTTCTCATTCATCTGACAAATGAGGAAAGTAAAAGAACCTCTGCATAGGGTTTCGGAGTGACAGCTGTCACTGAGGCTTATTTTAGCCACACACCATAAAAAAAATCAGAGCTCGGAGACCACAGTCTGGAGTAATGGAATAAGTTTTGGTCAGGGGCCAACAGACCTGTATTCAGTTCCCTCCACCTTGAACAAGTGAGGGAAGTTCAAGTGAGTCAGGTGGTTCTTTCAGGTCTATTTCTTTACCTGCAGGATAAAGCCTTGCATGGTCTCTACGGACCCTCAGTACCCCCCTTTTTCTAGACATTGTCCTACCTTCTCACTTCAAATGCCTGGTGATTATGGGAGCTGCCATGGGGGGTCTGCGGCAGCTCCACTCCTGGCCACTGTTGGTTGGTCCAGGGTTTGACAACCAGAGTCCTTTATTGGCATTTAGGAACTAGGCCTGAGTGAAGGGAGCAAGTGACCCTAGGGACTCACAGGCCTCCTGCCCAAGGACCCCAGAGGGAGCAAAGCAGAGGGGAGGAAAGATGGGACCTCCCTTACTCTTGCCGTCCTCGTTGCCGGGAATAATACAACACAATCCCTTTCCCCCTTTTAAAGCTAGGTCAAGTTGAATTTCCAACATTTTCAACTGGAAAGAATCCCTACCATCTTTACTAAAATAAAATAAAACTTTCCCATCTGTAGAACTCTAAGGACCAGCACTGAGTGACTCTCTGAGCATCTGGTCTCCCCAGTAACCTCATTTCTCAGAAAGCCTTCTGGGCTTACACTCAGCCAGGGCTTTGCGTTCAGAGTAGGAAAAGCTGTTCAGAGTAGAAATAGCTCTTCAGCAGACTAAGACATTAGAGGGGTTGGATTATGTGACTAGGAAATAAGGACATAGATGTTTTTAGTGATTGTATGAATGTCTAAAGGTGTAATCGCCGTGGCAAGGCTGCCTGGAGGTCTTGGAAGGAACAATGACTGAGTAGGCAGACTCAGCACTGTGGAGTCAGCCTGGCCTCCCCACTTCACCACAGGGCCTCCAATAGGTGCAATCAGCAGGGACTTTGCCCAGGTCAGTCGATGAAGGGTGTGTCCTAAGAACACTATTAGGGCCTTAAATTCTGCATGGCCAGGGTGGGGTGGAACTATTAGAGTAAGAAGTGCTTGGCTCCAAGCTCTCAAATATCAAGAAATTAACCTCTGGGCAGCTGATAAAGCAGAGGATAATTAAAGCAGTCCTGCCCAGTTACTATGATCACCAGAACTCTAGGCACAGTGCTTTCAGCCCTTGGATTCAATGTTCTGTCACTGTGTGTCAAAAATGGTGGACCGCAGGATGCGTGGGCTTTGGTCATCTATAGACAAGTCCTCAATTCACAGGGCATCCGGATTCCAACTCTCTGGTTGTCTCAGCGGTGGCCTGAGAATCTAGCTTCAGGGTTCCCTTTGCTGTGGCTGGTACAGGAAGTCACTGCCCATGGGCATAAAGCCGCCACTGTATCCAGGTTCATGGCCACACAGTCAGAGAGAGCCAGAGCCAGGACTCTCACCCCAAGCAGTTCAGCTCCGGAGCTCATCAGTTCCTCACTGTGTGATGAAGGTACTGCCTGGAGCAGTACCTACACACCTGGAGCCTGCCTGTCTCCTCCAATCTGCTGGCTCAGCGTGGCTTTTCAGTTCTGCATATGGAATTCCTGGGCTCACGTCTCAGCTCCACCACTTCGGCTGCATGACCTTAGACGAGCTACTTAACCTCTCTGGCTCTCAATTTCCTCCTCTGTAAAATGGAAATTATAAGAGCACCTATTTCATAGGTTATATGAATACAATGACTCAACATATGCTAACAGCTCAAAACAACACATGTATATGTTAATATCAATCTGTTAGCATTATTTTATCACCTCCTCGTCAAAACTCTCCTAGAGCCCCTACGTATGCCCTGGCATTCCTCAGCTCAACATCCCACAGTCCCAGGTGACTCTCTGCAGCCTCTGCAGTGCACACTTTGTATAGCAAATGTCCCACAGCTATGGAACAAGAACGTCTTTCCACTGGCCTGAGATGTGGAGGGTAAGAGACAAGGCGCTCAATCTCCAACTCTGACATCTGGAGTTACATAGCCTTTCTAAGCCTCAATTTCCACTTCTGCAAAATGGGGGCAATAGAGCCCAATGCAGTGGTGTACACCTGTAGTCCTGGCTACTCAGGAGTCTGAGGTGGGAGGATTGCTTGAGCCCAGGAGGCCAGCCTGGGCAACAGAGTGAAAGATCCTGTCCAAAAAAAAAAAAATTGTAATAATAGTATCTGCCTCAAAAGGCAGTTTTAAGTATTAAATAGAATAATAGATAAAAAGTACCAAGAAAGGACAAGATTCACTATTATCAGGGCATAGCTCTCAATAAATGTTTAAGGAATGAACAAGACTTCCAAAACCCCAGCGATGTCATCTGCAGCTTGGAAGATGCTCATCACTGTTGTTTGGTCATTTGAGTGCAGGTCCAAACTGAAGCCACCTGCCTAGCCCGTCGGTCCTCAGTGTACCTGACAGCAGCAACACACAACACAGTGGACACCGAATAGGGCTCCACAGTTTGTAACTCCGGTTCACACATCTCTCTGCACATAAAATCCCCATTTTACAAATGGGACAACTGAGGCTTAGAAAGGATATGTAACTCCAGATATGTAACCCCCTTAGCATTGTGCAGTCCGCATCTGCACCGCCTCCTACAAAGGCTCCCTTCAGAGTTTCACCTATTTCAGGGGGATGCCAGCCAGGATTCCCTACAAGGCCGCACTGCAGGGCTTGCCATCAGAAAAGGCTTACCTGAAAGGAGGGATTTATAATTCCTGACACACAGAAGAATGAAATGAGCAAGAGATGTGGAATCAGAACCACCTCCTGGCTGTATGTTTGTGGACGATTCACTTAAGAGGCGAACAGACCTGTGAAAAGGGAGTGATAGTATCGAGCAGTCTGACTCCCCTGGTTTTCGTGAGGATCAAATGCAAAAACGTGAGGGGAGTGATTTATAAATGTTAGTTCCTGCGGTCTTTACTGTGCGGTTGATAAAGAGGCCCTGGGGCCTCTTCAGCCTTTCAAGACAGTAGATGAGTTCGCGCAGCAGAGCCAGGTGGTGCGGGGAGAGAGCAGCAGCGGCTCCTAGAGTGGATGGGGATGCCTGGGGAGAATCATTTTGCAGGTCACAGGAATCAGTGAAATAATTCCGGTGTTTTCTTAGAGCTTCCAGATTACAACTGATAATAGAGGAGAAAAAAAATTACAAACTGCCAGGCTGGGCATCATGGGCCACATCTGTAATCCTAGCATTCTAGGAGGCCAAAGTGGGAGGATCCCTTGACCTGAGGAGTTCAAGACCAGGCTGAACGAGAGCCAGACCCATCTGTATTAAAAATAGAAAAATTAGCCAGGTGTTGTGGTGGGTGTCAATACTCCCAGCTACTCAGGAGGCTGAAGAAGGAGGATTGCTTGGACCTAGGAATTTGAGGTTGTTATAAGGTAGGCTGATGGCATGGCACTCTAGCCTGAGTGACAGAGTGAAACTCTGAAAAAAAAAAAAATCCAAACTGCCTTTTAATTTTGCTGCCTTGCCATAAAGCACACAGAGAAGGGTCTTGAGTGGACAAGTCCACGTTCAGCTGCATGGGGTCAGTCCTGTTGCATAGCTCCCACAGCTTTATCATCTCTTTCCACTGACTGATATAGCCAGAGTGCTTACAAAGGAACTCCTCCATTAAAATTTCCCGGCACAAGTGAATAAACTGTCAAATCTGTTACAGAACCAATTTCTCTTTTAATATTTCCAGGAAAGGGAGAATATAAATTCTGCAGAAGTCATTTAAAGTCATAAACCTTAAAAACGTTTGCAGTATGTTCCACTGATTGAAGTTCCCCGTTGACTTAGGCCACAGCACACCACAGCACAGCCCCTCTGCAGTGCCAGGGAAACGGCACTGGGGAACACTGTCCAAGTGGCATCGCAAAGAAAAAAGTTATTTTTCTTCATGGCATTGACTTTTTAAAAATAAATCTTTTGACTGTGGAGTCAGGAACAATCAGGGTCTCTGCTCTTTGAGGTTAGTTCTCAGCAGGGGATTTTGTTTGACACACCAAAGGCACACTGTTCTTCCCCCTCGGAGGTCCAGATTGTGGAGATCTAGGTTTTGTCACATTCTGAGAACTGGTCACAAGAGCCCCTGGGGGGGCAGGTTCCCCCTCCTGCAGAACTGGAGAGGAGACTGGTTCTTACGCTCATCCTCCACACACATACCAGGGAAGACTGGTCATTTCAAAACAGATGTTTCCTTTTATTTCTCCATCACAGATTCATGGTCGCTGGAGAGCGTCCACTGAGGGTGGACAAGGCAGGACAGGACACTGTCTATCAGGTTGGGATGCACATTTCCTGGGTTGGCACCCTGGGGGCCTACCCTCCTGGAGGAGGGGACAAGAAGGCAGCTGTGAGAGGGAGGAGAATGGGGAGAAAGGAGAAAAGCAAGTTGCCCTGATGAGAAAAGTGGGGGCAGAAGCCAGGAGCAGAGGTACCCAGGAAGAGTGTGGGAAGGAAGGGAGAGGGAAGCCTCATGGTGAAGAGGGTTAGAAAGTGAGAGGGGGAAGGGAACGCTTACAAAGAACGCAGTTCAAGGACTTGGGGAGGCATCTTCCTGCTGAAGTTGGTGGGTGGGAGGGAGGCCTGCAAGCCCAACAGGTGGGAAGCTGCCAGGACCACAGCCTGGTGCTCCCTATACACTGGGCCTCTTTGTCAGTTGAGAAAGTATCCACTGCTAACACCACCATGGGGCAAAACGCCTTGAAATTCCACACCACCCAAGGAGACATTACTGGTACTGATGCCCTCCCATCCCTGGCCCTCCTCCAACTCACAAATTCCAACTTAGGGAATTCTAGGGCAGCTCGGCGTGCTGGAGGGAAACTGTCTATCCACCCTACTCCTTCTGCAGTTAGGGCTTATATGCCCCCTCCCCAGGGCAATTGCCCAACTACCCTGGCCTATACTGGGTCCTGGGGTTGTTCCCTCCATCATGTCCTGAATTCTTCCTCCATTATTACACTGTCCCACCTGTAGTTACTCATTTATTTGTGCAATTAGATACTTAATATCTGTCTCCTTGGCCAAAGTGTAAGCCCCAAGAGCACTCTGTGTCTATGTTGGCCTTTGCTAAACACCCACTGGCAGCACAAAACATGGGACATGAAAGCTCAGAAAGAGCCCTTGAATGAATCCAGTGACTCCCCTAGAAGAGCCACAGAGGGGTGGGACTTACTGCATAGCTTGTTCTGGAACACAGAAGTCAGGGTCTCGATCTGGCTGAAGTTGGCCACCAGGAAGACATGGTCCTCGTGGGGCTCACTCCCAATGGCCTTCAGTGTGTTGAAGTCCACCTGGCCCACGCCAATGGCAAAGATTAGGATGCCTGTGTTCCGTGCCTTTGCAGCCACTTCAGCCACTGAGTCCTGTGGCCTCCCGTCTGTCACAATCATTATGACCCGTGGCACATTCTCCCTCAAGGGCCGGGCCCCCTCTGCTTCTGAGAATGCAATGTTCAGGGCGTACTGGATGGCCAGACCCGTCATGGTGCCTGTGGACAGATGTCGCATCCTCTTGACGGCACGCTCCACCTCGGACTTCCTCTTAAAGGTCTTGAGGGAGAATTCATTCTTGACAGTGCTGCCATACTGGAGCAGGCCCACCCGGGTGACATCAGGACCAATGTCCAAGAATTGTAATATGTCCATGATGAACTCCTTGACCTTCGCATAGTCATGGGTGTTGACGCTACGGGAGCTGTCGATGATGAAGACCAGGTCTGCCCTCTTGTTCTCACAGGTGCTTTCTGGGGAAAGAGGAGAGGCCAAACACATTAGAACAGAGTTAAGGACCCAGATTGGCTGTTGTTGGGAATCCTGGGGCTCAGGCTTCACCAGTTTTCCTCCTGACTCAGGAAAGTTATCAGGGTGTGTATGTGCATGGCTGGAAGGTTGTGACTATTGGGCACAAACGGGATTTCTTTTTGCAAGATAAATAAACAGATTAGTTTCTAGAAAGTCACCAATGCAGTTTTTAGATGGGCAAATACCTGACCAAGGTCAAGTTTATTTTATGATTTACCACGTGTAACTTGGCACTGCAGAGAATATAAAAGAAGCTTAGGACACGGTCCAGACTTAACTAATGGGAATATGAAAGAATATCCAGTAAGAAACCATGGCGTTCTGACAAGAGACGTTAAGGGGATAGGGATATTAGTGGGCTGAGGTCACAGGAATGGACACGAGCTGGCCTTATGCGTTTTGACTGGAGGGAAAGAAGACATGAAGCCAAGCCCAAGATGGAATGAATGAGGTGAGTAACAGAATCACTGAGGAGACCTGGAAACAGAGGGGAATATTAGGAGTTTGGAGCAGGAATTAGGTGGAGGGATAGCCTGAAGCTTTCAATTTGGGCTGAGGAATTCGTAGGATGCCTCTGGGGATGGGGGATCTTAGCAGCACTTGCACAACTTAGCTATATAATAAAAAGCCAGTTGAGTCTGGCAGTGGTTTTCAAGGTGGATGACCCAAACAGCTGTTACACTAATCCAGTTGAGAGGGGGATGCAGATCTTGTTCAGCAGTGGAAATGAAGAAAAATGGATTTTTTTCTTTTTTTGACAGACTCTCACTCTGTTTTCCCTGGGTCGAGTGCCATGCCATCATAGTTCACAGCAACCTCAAACTCCCGGGCTCAAGTGATCCTCCTGCCTCTGCCTCCCAAGTAGCTGGGACAAGCGCCTGCCACAACACTCAGCTAGTTTTTCTACTTTTAGTAGCCTCAAACTCCTGACCTCAAGCAATCCACCCACCTCGACCTCCCAGAGTGCTAGGATTACAGGCATGAACCAACATGCCGGGCCTAGAAAAAAGGATTTGATCAAGACATAGTTCAGCAAAGGACAGTTAAAACTGGATAAGGGAAAATGTGAAATCTCTCCCTAACCCCATCACTACCATACTTATGCCTTAAGCATCTAAGCCAGAAGGCTGTAAGGTTTGAGTCTGTAGATGACACTCATCCCTCCATGTTTCTGGGGGAGGAGGCTATTCGATGAGAAGAGAGGCCTCTTGCCTCTGCCTCAGGGAGTGGAAGCTGGGCATTCCTGGTGGCGTTCCTCAGACAATCGGAGCTCCTGCCTTTAGCCAGGGCCAGTCCCTCCTCCCTCCTTCTCTTCCCCCTTCCTGGACTTTGCAGCTAAATCAGGATTTGAAAGGGATTAGAAAAGGGATCCCACATACTTGCCCTAAATCCCAGTCGCCACAGCTGCAAGAAGGAGAGAGAAAGCCAAAAACGAAACAGTGAAGCCAGTCACAGAGACGAGAAGCGGGAAAGGCCAGTGAAGTCATCCCCTCCAGGCGGCCTTGCCAGGCTGTGACTCGTCCCCGCCTGAACACCCGCCCCATCACTGCGGACTCAGCCTAGTGATGTTAGGGGAGGAGGCACCCCCAAGCCAGGAGCCTGGCGGGGAAACGAACCTTCTGTCCCACCCATGTATAAGAAGGGGGCTGGGTGAATCTGAGGGGAGTTTCTCAAGACAGAGGGCCCAGAAAGCACCTTTGAGGACCCAGCAATCAGAGCGGTATAAAACCTGACATTTATAGGATGCTCTAAAGTCTTTCTCCAGAACCCTCAGTCACCATGGCCTCATTTGATTTTCAGAACAAGGTTTGAGAAAACGGCTGGGATTATACACCCATTGGGTAGACGGGAAAATGGAAGCACTGAGAATATGAAATTTTCCATAATTTAGAAAAAGAAAATTTAGATGCCAATATCCACCTCACTGGGTAGTTGTGACACTTTAGGAAATGATGTGGTTAAAGAGCCTGCATGTGGGGACCCCCACACGTGGAGGCTGTACACACTGACCATCCTCTGCCCTCCCCAACTCCGGCCCCCTGCCTCAGCCCTCCCTTGTGTCCAGCCCTAGGCTGGTGGGGCAGGGCTGCAGCCATGGTTTTGTGGCTGGCACTGCCCACAGGCATCAGCTTAAGGAGGCAAGTGGAACTGCAACCCAGCCGTGTGCTGAGTCCCAGGGGCCGAGTCACACCACGAAGCACCTGGAAGGGGTGTGTTTCTAATTTTCACAAAGGCGCCTATGACAGCACACGCAGTGAGAGTAAGATGGAGTCAGTGGGGCAAGAGCCCACATGACACAGCTGGTCTGGGCAGTTTACATCCTAAGTGACCTTTACCTCTGTCTCCCATTCTTGTTTTATAACCTCAGCTTTAACCTAAAAGTGCATATATCTTGAGTAGTTTAGGGCAATTGATTTGGAGATTAACTTTTGAATTTAAAATGTTGTTCTGGCTCATGGGTTATATCAATTGCTATTTATTATGGGTCATAGGTTATGGCAATTACTATTATCTAAGACAGGTGTCCTCAAACTGTGGCCTGCCTAGGACATTTATTAGGTCCGCCGGATGTTTTTGCTGCCACTGCCTGTCCAGCTTAGCAGCTGACTCGTCCTGGGGCCCACAGTCAGGCTCTCCAACAGTCTGAGGGACAGTGAACTGGCCCCCTGTTTAAAAAGTTTAAGGACCCCTGGTGTAAGATAAGGGTTAGTATGGTTCTTGCTTTTAACTTTTATGTGTAAAACTGTGATTTGGGACATGGAAGAACAGGACAGTCTTGAAGAGGCTACTCTCACTGTTCTCCAGAATTGCTGGACTTCTGACAAATAAAATTTGTTGGACCTAGCCCTGTCTCTGGGTACCGGCTGACAATGACAGGCGGCTGGAACCTTTTCATCTGGCAACAACTATCTATGGTTTAATATATAGCCCTGGGTTGGCACAGTGGATGACAGATCTGTAGTTCCCAGGAAGGAGGACAAGAGTAGACATTCCCAGGACCCAGGCAGGCTTCTCTGAAGGAGTCTCACCTGCCCCACTCTTCATGTTTGAATCTACTACAGGGAGGATGAAACTCAATGATTTTTTTTTTTTTTTTTGGAGACAGTTTCACTATGTTGTCCTTGGTAGAATGCAATGGCGTCACAGCTCACAGCAACCTCAAACTCTTGGGCTTAAGCAATTCTTTTGCCCCAGCCTCCCAAGTAGCTGGGACTACAGGTGCCCACCACCACCCCTGGCTATTTTTTTGTTGCAGTTGTCATTGTTGTTTAGCAGGCTCACGCCGGGTTTGAAACCGCCACCCTCAGTGCATGTGGCTGGTGCTGTTGCTACTGGACCAAGCCAAAACTCAATGAAACTCTCAGTAAGGAGAACAAGGACTAGGCTTAAACCCTGCCATGGAAAAGGATATTAATTAAAGCACCTTCAGAGGGAGGGAAGTACACAGAGAGCTGCCCCCCTGAGAGCGCTCTGCCTTTGGAGATCTTTGGAAGCAGGAAGTCTTCCTCGAGCTGGATTTTTATTGTGGGTCACTCTTAGTCATGGTGTCAATATCCCACCAAGCATCACAATCAATTTAAAGGGAAGCCTGGAAGTTCTATGGGGAATTATGCACTAAATTGGATTAGTTCCTGTCAAAACAAATGGATAATTTCCACAATGCCTGGACATTTACAAAAAGACCACAAAGGCTCAAAATGTTATTGGAGATTCTTAGTGAGCTATGATTCTGAGTTGAAAACACCAAGTCCTGGCCCCCCAAGTGACTGAATGTTCTTTAAGATGTTTCCTCAGCCCTCTTGAGGGCTCGGAACCATAGTCTCACAGCTTTTCCCTGCTACTTCCACGGTTCTCAAACTTGAATGTGCATCCCAATTCCCTAGAGGACTTGATAAAAACTAAGATCAGCCTGGGTGTGGTGGCTCATGCCTGTAATCCTAGCATTCTGGGAGGCCAAGGCAGGTGAATTGCTTGAGGTCAGGAGTTCGAGACCAGCCTGAGCAAAAGCAAGACCCAAATAGCCAGTGGCCAGGCCTTGTGATGGGCACCTATAGTCCCAGCTACTTGGAAGGCTGAGGTAAGAGGATCCCTTGAGCCCAAGAGTTTGAGGTCGCTGTGAGCTATGATGCCACAGCACTTTACTCAGGGCAACTGAGTGAGACTCTCTCAAAAAACACAAAAAAACTAAGGTCAGTGGACCACACACTCCAGAGTGTATGATTCAGCAGGTTTGCATTTCTAACAAATTCCCCAATGAAGTCAATGCTACTGGTCCAGGGACCACATTCCAAGAACCATTAGTCAAGGAAATAGAAAGATCTCTGGAGAAGGAGATCTGGGAAGTCTTGACCTGACTATCTCACAGTGAATTTCCCAGGCTGAGAAATTAGTCTCATTCATCTTTGCAGCCATGCAGTTGAAAACGCAGTGCGTCTTCAGTCAAGTTTGTAGAATTAAATGGAATTCTAGAGGAAGAAACAAGTCTTCAGGTAGAAGAGATTGAGTCAGAGCAGATAGTTCAAGAAGATAATGACAAATAAAAGTTGAAAAGTTCCACAATAGATATGGTCCTGCTAATATAGTCATAGTTTCTAGGTCCCATATTTTTGCCATTTTAGAAGGGAACACAACTGTGTTTGAACTTTGATTCCTGGAAGCATAGACTAATAAAATATTAGAGCTGGAGGGGCTGAAATAGTCTAAGTCACTCACTTTACAGAAAAGAAATCAGAGGCTCAGAGAGATAACTATCTCTGTAAGGCCTCATGGCTCCTCATGGTCAGACCTAGGACTACACTGATGCCTTTTCCTCCATCTCATGGCAGGCACCCTTAAGATATTCTCAATACAGCTGGCATTACAATACGAGCTTCACAAATACTTGGGAACACTCTAAAATATTTGCCGTGAAGAGCCTTGCAGCTTTGCCACATGAAGATTG